CGAAATCTAATATCCATAAGTCAGCTTTTGCACTAAAATATTTGCATGATGGATTATTAAAATAAATTGAAGAGGTGCAAGAAATCGTACCTGCAAAGTTCATAGAAGCTCCACTAGACATATTTGAACTGGCTGAATTTTCTCCAGTACAACCAATCTGAAAATGCCGCAGCAGGCTGGCAATTTGCCCATGCTGCTCCTTTAAAAGACTCATGCTTTGGTTTTCTCCTTGGTGTTCTACCTCCTCTCCTCTATCTATATTTACAACTGCATTTGCCATGGTGTTCTTTCCTTTGTTGAACCTTTCATTATTGTCGTATCCTTGAGAACTTTGTTTGTAATATTGTGACCCTTGATTAAAACCCTGGGGGTATCCATGCAGCTTATAACACTTTTTTGTGACCTGGTCATTTGTAATGGTTACAAAAGGTCGGAGTCTATTGTTTGTAATTTGATTTCGAGTTGAGTAGTTTGTCTTGAAGGTTCTTCCTCCTAGATTAGCATTCATTGAAAAGGAATCAACATTTAGCTGATTTCTTGGCCTGAATTCCCTTTACTTTTCCTCCTGTATCAACAGAGCAAATGCTTGTGCCATGGATGGCAAAAGATTCATCATGAGTATGCTTCCTTGAATAACTCTATAGACTTCATTAAGTCTCATTAAAAATTGAATCAATCTTCTATCTTGTTCTGCCTCTTGCATACTTTCCTTTCCCCCATAGGTACACACACAACTACAATGAGTTTTAACGTTCAGAGTGTTTTTTTCTTCCCAGAGCTTCTTCATTTTTGTGTAGTAGCCAGTGATATCAAGCACTCCTTGACTCAATTCATTGATTTCTTTCTGGATTTGGTACAACTTTGCTCCTTTCGTCTGGTCATATCGATCCTCTAGTTCCTTCCACAACTCAACAAAATCATTCACATACTCAACACTGTCAGCAATGTCCTTTGCCAGAGAATTTAGGATCCATGAGGTGACTATATCGTCACATCTCTCCCATGGACAAAAATGTAGAGATGTTGCATCGAGTCTCTTACTATCCCGTTAATAAAACCTAATTTGTTTTTCACTGAAAGAGCTCTTAATACACTTCTTCTCTAGGAACGATATCCAACTCCATCAAATGGAACAGGTACTAGCGTGGAACCAGGACTATCAGAAGGATATATGTAAAGAGGGCTAGTTGAATCAATTACTGTATGTGTTGTTGCCGTTGTTGTCGTCTCTTCAGTCTGATCTATAATCGCCATCAAAATTGTGCGAAATCAGTTAGATTAATGTTCATGCAGCTGAAATGTAGCTTAATTTCTTCTATTTATTGATGAATCGTCACTACATGCGTCCGATCGAGATTTTTCCCAAATTGCTGATTGACGAAGAACCCTAGGTTAATCACTACTCAGTGATTAGAAACAACAGAAAATCAAAGAAGGGCATGGTAGATAAGAGAACCTCCGCTCTGATATCATGTCAAGATTATGGATGTGGGCTAAGCTCTCTATCTCTTCCAATGGAGGATTCAGTAGCTTCTAGAAGATGGAGCTTATAGAGAGAGAAATGAGAGATGTAGAGAGTCTCTCGCTTTGTGAAATGAAATTGTAGTATTTATATTGAGTACTGTTCAATTATATATAGGTATAAAAGAATAAACCTCCACTAACTAATCTGCTGACTCAGCGTAATTACAATATAAGTATAGTCTTTATAAGGCCCAAACTAAAGTTTGAAAACGTCAGACCTCAAGCAGAACTTTGATTCTGACGTGATCAAAATTTATATATTTTGTAAATTGTTGACTATGTTTTAAATAGTGGTCTCCCAAGTGGCTATTTCTGCACTTGTCCCTCAGTTATTCGACGCAAACATCCATACACAAACAAATCATTGGGCCAACACCTGGAATTGGGCTTTTCATATACTTTTAGAAAGTACTATGTTTTAGTGGTTATTAGCTAGTTGTAGATATCATTTATTATATTACTTCCTATAGCTATGTTTTCAGGTTTTTTAGAGTGTATTCGATGTATTTAAGCTACTGTATTCATGAATACAGTAGCATTTCCAGGCGTGAAACAGGGAATTACAGCTAGACAGATTTTTGTATTCGACTATATTCGACTGTATTCACGGCATGAAATAGGGGATTACAGCTAGACAGATTATTTTATTCGACTGTATTCACGATATGTATTTGTGAATACAGTAACGTAAATAGCGCAATTCGTGGTCTACTCAGCTATTTTTAAACGGAAAGTGAATCAATTAACATAAGGCTCCTAATAACTCAACAAACTCAATTATAACACACAAATTTTGTATTACCAGTTATAAAAAAGATTCTCAACCGAAAAACACCCCAAAAATATAGCAATCTTCAGAGAAATTATATAATTACATTGAATATAGTTAAATACATAAAAATACATTGAATACATGAAGTATAGCAGGTCATCTATAGTGCAAAAATATATGAATACATACTGTAGATACATTTGAATACATATATACATCTGAATACATAAATTATATTAATTAAAAAAATTAAATGAATACATTCATAGAATATAGCGAGACAGTGAATATAATGAAATACATGGAATATAGCGAGATACACTGAAATACAATAAAAAAAAAAAGATAATGAATACAATGAAATACATGAAAATACAGCAAGATACATTGAAATACACTTTAAAAAAAAGGTAACAGAATCTTCAAGTTACTCAGCCCCAAACTCCGTCGTCTTTGTTCAAGAACAATCCTAATGTCGTCTCGTCGAGAGGGCCACAATTCTGACTCGACAGTACCAACAAGTGGAATCTGGCGAAAATCAGGACGCGAAAAATCGAACTAGACAACGGAAGTGCCGGCGGTGGCGTCGAGGCCGGAGAGAAAACCCTCGTTCTGTAAACTTCCAGAAGCGCTACCGATCTGAGAAGAATCTGGAAGGAAGCTGTGTTAGGGTTTATACAATAATTGTCCCTGTTGCTGCTCGCCATTACTGAGTGGACTGAGGGAGTGTTAATGGTGTGTTTCAACTTTTAACTTTGACCTCTGGGATACTGAAATGGACTCGTATTCAATTGATTACACCCTCTACACTGATGAGAGAGAATAGTTTGTATTCATGGAGAAAACTGGCGTTGAGAGAGAGGGTGGAGAAAAATCTGAAGGAATGAGAGAGAAAAATAATACAAAGCGTATTTTATGGCTTAAGGGTAGGAGGTGACCATAAATAGATATTTGGCTATAAAAATCAAAAGATAGCTATGGAATATAATTTTTTAAAATGGTATTTATTTAAAATAAATAAGGTATCAATCTTTGCTATAGGTACCGACTACCTATCAGTACGAAGTACCTTTTAATTTCTCTTTTTCTCGCTAAAGATCAATATATTTGGATTCCAATATTTACTAAGTGATTCATATTAACTGAAACTATATTTCATTTCTGTTGACTATATTTTATACATACACTCAATGGACTGAATATTCTAATTCTTTTCGACGAGTTAGACCTCAACATCCGTAAATTCTCATTATTTATTTCCTAGTCTAGATGGTTTAATGTCTACTTGTAATTTTGTTATAAAATAAACAAAATACAAATCCGTATAATACTCATTAATACTGTAAAATATTTGCCGGCTACATATTACAACGTAAGATCATGATTTATCCAGTCGCTGATTAGCATAATACTAACTCAGCGAAAAGAATTTTTTTTCGAACCTTTCCTTTACTGTTTTTATCCAGAAATTTCAAGGTCCGAATTCATCACCCGGTATGAGAAAAAAAGAGCAATAAAAACAACATTCTACTCTAATTTGCTGAAATGTGTATAAAATATTATATTAATATTATATTATTATCCTATATTAGTAAAGAAGAAACGGATTTTTTATTGGATGCCAAATTTGAATGTACTAAATTGTTGCTAGTACATGCACGAAGCGTCTAGGTAGTCATCACCTTTTAAGGTTGACAGCACATTACATGTAGCTAATTGGTTTAACTATCGTTGTTGAAATAATCAAAAGACCAATTATAGAAAAACCACCGAATTTTTGATGGGGAAAACCATCAAACCCCCCAATACAACTGCTTAAGTAGAATCAAGCTGACAAAGATTTCAAGAGCCAATACAAAAGATTTAAGAAGTAAAAGGAGTTTATGAATTTCCAAAATCAAACTATATACAGGAATATAACTTGAAAGGCAAAAGGCATGAAAGGGATGAGACGGGATGGAGAAGGAGAGAAATATGAATCTTATCTTTAAGAGAAGAAATAAAATAAAACTGGGTCCAATTGTTGGGTAAATTTCACAAAATATTCATATAACTATGAATTTTTTTCATCAAAATCATATAGCTTTGTTTTCTCACATAAAAATCATAAAACTTTTACTAACTCATGTATAAATCACTGTGACCAGAAAATACAAATTTTCGGTAGTATTTACTTATTCCATTTTTTTTATATTTTCAGTTTAATAAATAATAACCCAATTAAAATAGGAGAAATATATATCTTTAGCAAAATTAAAATACTTCAAAATTCTTTTAAGCTATTCGCTTGAAAATAAAATTAAGACATGTTAACATAGATTACTTTCTCTATTAACAAATTCTAGTTTTACTTTCTTAAGGTTGAGTCGAGTAGTATTGATAAATAAAATATTCAATATGTTTTCCATTGTTCTGAATAAAAATAGTTTTTTCCTGTATTTTCATAATTTGGAATTATTTAAATTTGACTTTTGGTAGATGAAATCACGTTTGGCTAAAATGGAGAAATAAATCGTGTCTATCCAAAAATAAAAAATGGTCGTGTAAGAACTAACATTTGGTTTAATAAATGACATCGATTTTTCTCTTGGAATTAATATTACCACCACCCTTTTCTTATTACTTGACAAAGACTCAAACAAACAGTAACACAAAACAAACAGCCACAAACCGGTATCGAAAACCCAGCGACCAAGGAAATGGTTTTACTTTGGCCTGTTGTATTTAACTTCTCCATTTCACGATTCTGAATTTTCAGGTATAAATACCCAAGCTAATGCAGTGCCACATCACACCTCAAGATATTAAACTCAGTATTCAGAAACAACCAAAGTTCATCTAGACGTTAAGTTTTCCTATTTTAGTGATCAGTTAAAGAAATCAAGAAAAAAAAAATGTCAACCACTGTCGGCCAAGTCATTCGTTGCAAAGGTAGGAACATTCATTTAATTCGTTGCAAAGTAATTGAATACTCATAAGACACAGTGCACAAAAGTTTTTAATTTTTTGTAATTATTTGTTTATTAAGTTCTCTTCATCGTTTTCTTTGTGTGAGAATAATGGAAATTAATGTCATTTTATAGCTGCTGTGGCATGGGAGGCAGGGAAGCCATTAGTGATGGAGGAAGTGGAGGTGGCACCTCCGCAAAAAATGGAAGTTCGTCTTAAGATCCTTTACGCTTCTCTCTGTCATACTGATGTCTACTTCTGGGAAGCAAAGGTACATAAAAAGTAAAGTTACAATCTAAAAACATTTAAGCAAATAGCACAATGTGGATCTATTATTTTTTAACTCCTTGGAATAATTCAGGGCCAAAATCCAGTCTTTCCTCGCATTCTTGGACATGAAGCAGCAGGGTATGTACTATGTTGTTTCAACTGATTGATTTAAATTAATCATTGGTACTGAATTCTGTTGTTTTGTTGGTTATGGAATATTTAGGATTGTGGAGAGTGTAGGAGAGGGAGTAACAGAAGTTGCACCAGGAGACCATGTTTTGCCTGTATTCACAGGGGAATGTAAAGATTGTGCTCACTGCAAATCAGAAGAAAGCAATATGTGCAGCCTCTTAAGGATTAACACTGATAGGGGAGTAATGATTCAAGATGGGCAATCAAGGTTTTCCATAAATGAAAAGCCTATTTACCATTTTGTTGGGACCTCTACCTTTAGTGAATACACTGTGGTCCATGTTGGTTGTGTTGCTAAAATCAACCCCCTTGCTCCTCTTGACAAAGTTTGTGTCCTCAGTTGTGGAATCTCTACAGGTATAGCACAAATTATCAACCATAAATTATGAATCTCAAATAGTACTAGTTTCATCCGAGGAGTTCAATTGTTGATTGATCAAACGCTTCTTTTTCTAGGCCTTGGTGCAACTTTGAATGTGGCTAAACCAAGAAAGGGGTCAAGTGTGGCCATATTTGGACTGGGGGCTGTTGGCCTTGCTGTGAGTACTGTCCATGGGTGTGGTTGGTATGAAGGAAAATATGTTTTCCAAACATTAATCAAACAAGGGAAAATAAGTGATAAAACATTTTCCATAGAACATTTTCCTTCGTACCAAACACACCCTATATTGCAAATTAGTTTCAATGATATTTTCTTTACCATATGTTACTTTAAGGAATCTTAATAATGATTTGATCCCGTTTGGTCAGGCTGCAGAAGGAGCAAGAATTGCTGGTGCTTCAAGGATAATTGGTGTTGATTTAAATGCTAGCAGATTTGAGTTAGGTAATTAAGTTGTACCTACACATGTATTTTTCACTTGAATCTTCAACATTCTTGATCCTTTATCCTATTTAATTCCATCCTCATAGCTTGTCTCAACTCATTCATCCATTTTGCCTATGTTGTACAGCTAAGAAATTTGGTGTGACAGAGTTTGTGAATCCAAAGGATCATAATAAACCAGTTCAAGAGGTCCTCATATTTTCTTAGTTTGCTAATAGACAGTAGGGGGAAAAAAGCTGTGAGTTGAAGTTGATCATCTTTTCTCGGATTCTTGTTTGATTAGGTAATTGCTGAGATGACGGATGGCGGAGTAGACAGGAGTGTTGAATGTACTGGGCATATTGATGCTATGATTTCAGCATTTGAATGTGTCCATGATGTATGTTTTCTGTCATCAAATTTCCTTAGTTTATGTTCTTATTAATTACTACATTAGTTATACTGGAACTACATGCTAATGAAACTTAAATAATATTCAGGGTTGGGGAGTGGCTGTTCTTGTTGGAGTACCTCATAAAGAAGCTGTATTCACGACACACCCTATGAACTTTTTGAATGAAAGGACTCTCAAGGGGACATTCTTTGGAAACTACAAGCCCCGTTCTGATCTTCCTTCTGTCGTCGAGAAATACATGAACAAAGAACTTGAATTGGACAAGTTCATCACTCATAAACTCCCATTTGCTGAAATCAACAAGGCTTTTGATTTAATGTTGAAAGGAGAAGGCCTTCGTTGCATCATCAAAATGGAGGACTAAACTTTCTAGCCCAACTATGGCAGTGGAGAGCTTCTAGTGGTTACTCCTTGAGAAAACACCAATAAATTGTCATTTGTCTTACTTTAATTTGTTCAGTTGGTGATTGAGTTGTAACATTCTGATCCAAGTCCATCCATGTCTCTTCTTGCGTTTTCGTTTATAAATATGCTTTTTCCTTCAGAACGCCATATCTATCTGTTCTTGCAAGTATAGTAATTCCTTTATTGTATCTACCTAGGGATTTCACATATTTTTCAGCCCACTATGTCAAAAATCAGCCATTAGAGAGCACTGAGACGTGAGGAAGAAGAAAGAAGAAATTGGGAAATTTACAACTGCTATTACTGTGCTAACATAATCAGTTATATACAATTAATTGGAAAAGAAAAAATAATAAAGGAACCCTAACTTCTAATAATTACATTTAGGTCCCAAATAATAACTAACTTATGATTCCTAACTTCCAACATTCCCCCTCAAGCCGGAGAGTGAAGAATGTTCAACACTCCCAGCTTGTTGAGTAAGAACCTATGTTGTACAGATGATAGTCCTTTGGTGAAGAGATCTGAGTAAGAACCTATGTTGTACAGATGATAGTCCTTTGGTGAAGAGATATGCCTGTTGATCTTTTGTAGAAACATATTGAGTACCCAAGATACCATCCTTGATACGTTCACGAACAAAATGACAGTCTATCTCGATGTGTTTAGTACGCTCATAAAATATAGGATTCGCAGCTATTTGCATTGCTGCTTTGCTATCACATAACAGTGTGCCAGGCTTAAGAATACACACTCCCAACTCTGAAAATAGCCCCAACAACCACACTATTTCTGAAACTGCTAATGCCATGCTGCGATATTCTGCTTCAGCACTACTTCGTGAAATAGTGTGTTGTTTCTTTTATTTCCATAAAATCAATGAATCACCAAGTTTAATTGCATATCCAATAACAGACCTTCTTGTCATTGGGCAAGATGCCCAGTCAGAATCACAAAAAACTGTCAATGTATCTACATTCCCTCGCTTCAATAGAACTCCCATTCCTGGTGTAGCCTTTAGATATCTGACTACTCTAAAAGCAGCCTCCATGTGTGACTTCTTAGCCAGTTGCATAAATTGACTCAAGGTCTGCACTGCATAACTGATATCTGGTCAAGTGACTGTCAGGTAGAGCAATTTCCCTATCAGCTTTTGATAGCTATTTGCATCTGTCAAGGGATCTTCATCTTCTATTCCAGCAGCTCTGTCATATTCCACCATTGTGAGTTTCTGATTGACTTCAAGTGGTGTTAATGCTGGCTTGACACCACTTAAGCCCAGCTCAGAAATGAGCTTTAAAGTATATTTTCTTCTGTTAAGTAATATTCCATGATTAGATCTCAACACCTCAATCCTTAAGAAATACCTCAATTCTCCTAGGTCTTTGAGTTTAAAATGCTGATGCAAAGTTGTATTAGCTTCATCAATCAAATCCTCATTACTTCCAGTCAGTAGCAAGTCATCATCATAGATGAGGATGATGACAATATCCTTGCCTAACCTCTTAGTGAACATAGAGTAGTCATGAGTGCTCTCTATGAAACAGCTTGATCAGCTTAAGGGGAAGTTTCGCAGGTTTGTGAAGACAGATTCTCGTCACTCAGTTTTCAGAGCTGAGCCAACTGATTCAGTGGTCTCCCTCTCTCCCTATACTTCGAACCAAGACTCTTCTTCAGACTTAGGTTCTCTAGCTTCTATTCTCGGGGTACGTAGATCCACCCGTCTTCGTTTTCCTATTCATAGGTTTGTATCAACTAAGTCTCTGTCTACTTCCCACGAGTCTTTTTTGCAATTTCATCCCCTCTTTGCGAGCTACTTACTTTATCTGAACCCTCTACTGATAGATGCGAGAATTGCACTGGTCATTGTGCGGAATGCCCTCTAAGCCAGTCAATGCTTCTGTAAGTTTTAAATTCCATTTCCTAGATGCTTGCTTGAGACCATATAAAGACTTAAGCAGCATACATACCTTCTGCTCCCCCTGCCTTTGGAAGCCCTGTGGTAAATCCATATAGACTTTTTCAAATAAATCTCCTTGAAGATAAGCATTAAATACATCCATTTGGTATAAGGACCAATCTTTTGCGGCTGCAAGTGCTATCAGAGACCTAACAGTCACCATCTTTGCAACTGGTGAAAATGTCTCATGATATTCTAATCCCTCTTGTTGATTGTATCCTTTTGCCACTAGTCGTGCCTTGAATCTTTCAACTTCTCCATTTGCTTGGTACTTTATTTTGTACACCCACTAGGATCCAATAGAAGTTTTACCTGGTGGTAAGTCAACAACCTCCAAAGTCTTATTATCTTCTAATGCTTGTATCTCCTGCTTCATGGCTGTGATCCACCTCTCATCCTTTTATAGCTTCCTTGAAGTTATAAGGTTCCTTCAAGGCTGAAAAAATTGAGACATACTTCTGTATTTTGATGACATCTTCTCATAGGATAGGAAGTTTGAGATTGGATAATTGCATTTTGAGGGCTTCTGTGACTGCAACATATGGTCTCTTTGCCATATAGGTGGATTCTTTACCCTTAGTGACTGTCTAGTTGGTGCATTGGAACCAGACTCAGTCCTAGGTGTATCTTGCCCATGTTGAACATCTTCAGTGACACCATCTTGAACAAGTGAACCAACAGATATGTCCTCAGCATTGTTCAGCACACCATGTGTAGTTTGTATTCCATCTATTTCTGTCTCCTACACTGGTGGTGCAGCATCATGATTTTCATTTGGTACTGATGACTCTTCCAATTCTCCTGCTTGTGATGCTGCATTATGAATTCCATTATTGCGGTCCTTTGCTGGTGAACTGGTGCATGTATGTGTTGTTTCTGCTGTATTAGGAACCTGAAATGATTCCTCAAGATTGGAAATTGCTGGTAGTCCACTTGTTTGAGCCTGCAAATCAGTCTCTAAAAAACTAGAACCAAAGTCATTAGATATGAATAGATGTTGTGTTATTTTCCTAAGTGGAAACTCATTCTCCCTAAAGGATACATCCCTGCTAATGAAAAAGGTTCTAGTAGTTAAATCATACAATCTATATCCCTTTGAGTAGTTCAATACCCCAGCATGTTTAGCCCTTGCACCAAACTTATTATCTAATACCAGATTTGTGGCATAACATAGCATCCAAAAACTCTTAAATGTGCTATTGAGGGCTCTCTACCATACAACATTCCATAAGGGCTTTTTCCACTTAGTATCCTGGTAGGCAATCTATTAATCAAGTAAACAGTAGTTTATACACATTCCCCCCAAAACATGTCTGGAACATGACTTTGAAATTTTAAGGCCCCGGCAATATTCAGTATATGTCTATATTTTCTTTTAGCTACTCCATTCTGCTGGGGTGTATGTACACAACTACTTTGATGAATGATTCCTTGAGATAGCAAGAATTCATTCCACTGTGCATTGAAGAATCCTTTACCATTATCTGTTCTCAAAATCTTGACAGAAGTGTCAAACTGTGACTTAACCATAGAAACAAATTGCTTCAGGAAAATAATAGTTTCATTCTTAAACTGCATCAAGAAAATCCAAGTAGCTCTAGAAAAATCATCCACAACTGTAAAAAAGTAATGCTTCCTATCATGAGTGCTCTTCTTATATGGCCCCCATACATCCATGTGGACCAATTTAAAAGCTCTAGCACTCCTTTTCTCATTGTTTGGAAAACTAAGTCTAGACTGTTTAGCTAAAGGGCAAACATTACATTTGTTCTGCATATTATCATCTACTTTATTATGCAAAAAGGAAACATACTGCATAACAGGAACAGAAGCATGGCCTAATCTCACATGCCACAAGTATGTTGTTTCACCACTTGAATCTCTCACATCCACATTTGTCGCTAAAAGTCTGATTCCTCTTCCTTTCAGTATGTACAAACCTTCATCTTCTTTACCAATCGCCTTCACCCTACTATTGTAAAGGTCCTGAAACACACATAGTGTGGGCAGAAATGTGGCAGCATATTATAGATCTCTGGTTAGCTTGGACATTGATATTAGATTAAACTTAAAATCAGAAACATGTAGTACATTCTCTAGTTTATCAACATCTGACAAATATGAACTTCCGACATGTTAAATTTTTGTAGTGACACCATTTGGCAATGTCACTTTGTCTTGTGTCCTGTCATCTACTCTTCTTACACCACTCATTAAATCTAAGGTAGATGAAATGTGATGTGTTGCTACTGAGTCTACAATTCAATCATCATTCCTTTTGTTTCAGATATGCATACTAAAAGATAATGCAGTAATTATAGCTGCAGTCGTTGCTTGATTTTGTGCCTTCATGTCACTTGGTGGTGAGTCTTTGTTTAACAAATCTAGAATCTGTTGGTACTGTGCTTCTGTAAAGAAATGATCTCCTCCTGATGTTCCTTGTAAACTTTGAGCCTTATTTCCTTCTTCATGATTCACAGAACCTTCCACATAATTTGCAGTTTTTAGAATACTATGAAATACTTTCCTTCTTCTGAAATCTTCAGGGTATCCTACTATTTTGTCGCAGTTTTTCTTTGTATGCCCTCTCATATGGCAGTGTTTCCTTCCACAAAATCCTTGACCTCTCCCTGCTTGCATGGCTAAGGGATCTGATTTATGACCTATGACTCCACCTCCTGCACATTGTTGACTCTCATCTTTTGTTATGAGCGCATATGCCTGATTAAGTGTGGGTTCAGTGGTCTTCATTAGAATTTGTCTACGAGCTTGGTCATATGTATCATTTAGCCTATCTAAGAACTGCACAACTCTTTGTTGCTGTAAATGAGTCATGTGTTCTTTTGATTTTGGACAACCACATTTTAGATATGGCACCAAAACATCATACTCAGCCCATAGTTCCTTCAATTTGGTAAAATACACAGCTACAGAATCTGCTCCTTGAGATAACCTCAAAATCGATCTGTGTAACTGAAAGATGCGAACTCGATTTACCTTATCGAATCGCTCCTGTAGATCTTCCCAAACTACATGTGCATCTGATGCATAAATGATACTGTAGGCATATAAATTTTATTGAAATTAAATCCATAAAATAATTTAGGCTATATTTTAAATTCAAGATATATTGGTCCAAATAAATATATGGGCTAATATAATTGAATGAATTATATAAGTCCAATATATATGGGTTAAATAAATAAGTCTTAATCCATTGTACTAGCCCATTTAATTAGGCTAAAGTGATGAGCTCACTTCATTAGGCCCAAAATGTCATCTTCCTAGAGGCCCAGTTTGGTGCCACGTGTCAAATGACATGGCACGCCAAGTCAAACGGGAGAGCCAATGGGATCATGCCACATGTCAAAATGACATGCCATGCCAAGTCACATTAAAGGCCAATGAAATCGCGCCACGTGTGCAAGTGACATGTTCTGTCCAATCAAATGCGGTCATGTCACATTTCAATTTGATTGGTCGGAAAGAGTTTGTTCTTATCATGACTTCTCCCTTCCACAACTATAAATAGGGGTCTTCATAACTCAGAAAAAAAGACCAGAAGTTATAACAAGAAGCAAGAAAGAGCTCGTGGATCAAATGCTGCAAATTCCTCCACAAGTTTCAAGCTTCAAGAAATCAAGTTCAAGCTCAAGAACGAAGAACAATTCAAGTATTCAAGATCAAGAACGAAGTCAAATCAAATACAAGACTTTCAAGATCAAGGCTACTTGTTCGTGATACAATTCGTGGCAACAATCAAAGTGTTCTCGATGGATAAATCAAATTCAAATTCAAGATCAAGCTCAAAGGCCCTTGAATTTATTTATTGCTGAAAAGAAGAATCAGAGGATTCATAGAGATTGTACACTCAAATATTCGACATAAAATACTATGATTGTTGCGATATTTTTCGGTCTTGATTTTATTTTCTCGACGCAAATTTATTGTCTACAAATTTTGGCACGCCCGGTGTAACGACCCGGCCGGTCGTTTTTGGAAATTACGCCCCGATCCCCCATTAACTGCTTCCCCTAAGTTCATTTCTGCTATTTGGTTTGCTGGAACGTTCGGTGTTAGGATTCGGAGTGTTTTGGGACACTTAGTCCCTAAATGAGAGCTTAAGTGTGAAAAAGTGGTCCGTAGTCAGAACAGCGTGAAGACGACCTCGGAATGGAAATCCGACGGTCCCGTTAGCTCCGTTAGGTGATTTCGGGGTTGGGAGCGTGTTCGGAATGTATTTTGGAAGTCCGTAACTCATTTAGGCTTGAAATGCCGAAGTTTGTATTTTTGAATTTTCCGGTCCGATAGTGAGTTTTTGATTCGAGGGTCGGAATGGAATTCCAGAAGTTGCAGTAGCTCCGTCATGTCATTTGGGATGGGTGTGCAAAATTTCAGGTCATTCGGACGTGTTCTGGTTAGGTTTTTGATCGAAAGCGTATTGTGAAGAAATTTGAAGTTCTTAGGCTTGAATCATTGATTAAATCGGGTTTCCGGTGTTGTTTTAGGTGGTTTAAGGATTGGTACAAGTTTAATTTATTGGTTCTTTTGGTTGAGGTCCCGGGGGCCTCGGGATGAATTCGGATGGGTGACGGAAGGTTTTGAAGTTGAAGAGTTGGTGAAGACCTGCTGGTATCTGTCATAACCGCACCTGCGGTTTGGGTTCCGCAGGTGCGGAGCCGCAGAAGCGGCCTTAGCATCGCAGGAGCAAATTTGGGCTCCCTCAGCTTTTCCGCAGGTGCGGAGGATCTACCGCAGATGCGGTTACGAACCTGCGAGGTTTCTATCGCAGATGCGGCCCTGAGTCTTTTGTGAGAAACCGCAGAAGCGATAAGTATTTCGCAGAAGCGGAAACCGCAGGCGCGGTTTAAGACCGCAGAAGCGGAACCCTGGATTTTTAATGAAAACCGCAGAAGCGGCTCGTGGTCCGCAGAAGCGGTCCCTTGTCCGCAGAAGCGGAAATGACTTTTCAGAAATATTAATTCGAGGGTTTGATTTCATAAGTTAGAAAAACCAAATTGAGCTCGGGCAAGGGCGATTTTCAGAGGGTTTTGAAGAGAAGACTATTGGGTAACGTTTCTATAATCCCTTCTAGTTATATTTCATCATTTTGTAGATAAATCCATCCTTTAAATTCGAATTTGGGATCAAAAAAATTGGAAGAAATTGGGCAAAACTTCATAGGCTAAACCATTGAGTTTTGAGTGAGCATTTGACCTCCGATTTGGGAGATTATTATATGGTTAGACTCGTGAGAGTACGAGGATTCTGAAAATGTGAAAATTATTCGATTCCGAGGTGTTGGCCTGAAGGGCATTTTGGTCATTTCACCTAATTTCACGCTGTAGCTTTGAATTAAATAGCAAAACCAGTTGTTTGCGATGTTATTTATGATATGTAAATGTATTGAAGAGATTTGGGCTATTTGGAGTCGGATACTCGTGGCAAAGGCGTGGTTTCTAGTTGATTTTGAGCCGGTTCGAGGTAAGTGGCTTGTCTAACCTTGTGTGGGGGACCTTTCCCCTTAGGATTTGATATGTGGTAATTGAGTGCCTTGTACGTGAGGTGACGAGCATGTACTTGAGCTAATTGTTGAAAAACCCGATTTTTACTTAAGATATTGAGACTGAGTTTCCCTCATATTTGCCTTGTTTTACTTGCAGTTATAACATGTGTTAGATTAGAAAAGCATGTTTAGTTGATTTAACCTTCCTAACTGTTTAAGTTGCCTTGACTGTACTACGTGAAGCATGCTAGGCTAGTACTACCTGATGTTTGCCTTTTGTACTTCATTTCTGAATATCTTCTGGTTGTGGTTGCCATATACACTGGACTACGGATGTGGGATTCCGGTAGCTCCCCCCTTGTTTGTTTACTTTGGGACTGCGGGTTCGATTGCCGATAGATCCCCCTGCACTTTTACTTTGGGACTGCGGGTTAGATTCCCGATAGATCCCCCTGCACTTTTACTTTGGGACTGCCGGTTAGATTCCCGATAGATCCCCCTGCACTTTTACTTTGGGACTGCGGGTTAGATTCCCGATAGATCCCCCTGCACATCTGGTGGTTGGACTACGGGACGGTATCCCGGGAGATCCTTCGGATGTACACATATGATGGACTACGGGATGGTATCCCGGGAGATCCAGTGGACAGTTGAGAAAAAAAGGGCTACAGGACGGTATCCTGGGAGACCCTCATTGTTATCATTGGTATTGAGCTGTGTTTATTCTGTACTCGTGTAGTTGTTATAGCCTCGTTGACTTGTCTTATCTCACTGCCGTACTTATTATATCTGTCAGATTTTTATATTGTTAAATTATTATTATTATTATTATATTTTGTCTCAGTAGGGCCCTGACCTTCCTCGTCACTACCCAACCGAGGTTAGGCTTGGCACTTACTGAGTACCGCTGTGGTGTACTCATGCCCTTCCTGCGCATGTTTTTCATGTGCAGATCCAGGTACCTCTTCTCAGGCGCACTATCCTTGAGGCGAGGAGATAAACGGACACTTCGAGGTATATCTGCAGCGTCCGCAGACCGAAGAGTCTTCTTCCTTATTCTAGTTGTAGAGCTGTTATCCTATCATACTCTTGATGTAGATATTCTGGAGATTAGAGTACTTATGGTAATTCTATTAGCCTGTGTTTCCCGTGAGTTTTGGGGTTTTGGGATTGAGTTGTAGACTTCCGCATATCTTCAGAGTTGTATAGGCCGGTCGGCCTTATATTCAGTTGTTATTTTCCATATGTTTGGTTTTAATTGATTATTCCTCAAGTTGAATTGTTATTTCCGCACTGTTAGGCTTACCTAGTTGTAGGAACTAGGTGCCATCACGACATGTTCATGGAGGGTGAATGGGGGTCGTGACACTCGGTGGGACAATCTCTACCTCTCATCTCAACTTTTCAATCACCAATGTTCAAGAACATTGAAATGGCTTCGAAGAAAATCAACTCCAGATCAACATCCACCAAGGCTGCTAACTCCAGGTTCTATGCTGATGTGAAAAGCATCCTCGATGTTACCTTTGGAAGCTTCGGACCAGTTACGAGGAGCAAAGAAAGCTCTTTAGGACAACAAGCACCCCAAGTGCCGTCCACATCAACCCCTGTTTTCGGATCTTCATCCTCAAAAGGAGCAAGATCTTCCACAAACGCATCTGAAGGAGGAAGTGATGTTGCTGAAAAGATCAAGAAAATTCTTACTCGCTTAACCTCTCCGGATCCAAGCACTCTGCTGTGAAGGAAGATGATGATGCTTCAAGTGATGGATCCTCCCTACTTACACCGCATAGCGTGAGCCAATCAAGGATAAATCTGTGTGAAAATCCATGCTACTATCCATCGTCCACGACAATCATGCAAGCCATGGTGACAAACACTTTATCTATGGAGGAGCAGTTGGCAAACTTGACGGAAGAAATTGCTGGCTTGACCAAATGCATGCAAAATCAAAAGGCTAGAATTGACAAGCTAACAGACAGGGTGGGAATCTTGATGGAAGAAGAATCCACCCATGCACCCGGCAAGCTCCCAGAGGTTCTATAGAGTGACTCTCCCCCGAGACAAGCAGCATCCACAAAGGCTATCCCTGTCTCATCTGAAAGGATGATTCCAATCGATCAATTGAAGGAACCATTAAGAACAAATATGAAGTTGCTGCCAAATCCTCCCTTACATATGCAAAGCCGTACACTGCAAGGGTCGATATGTTGAAGATGCCTGCTGGCTATCAACCTCCAAAGTTTCAATAGTTTGATGGTAAAGGTAACCCAAAGCAACATGTGGCGCACTTTGTTGAGACATGCAACAATGCTGGGACTTATGGAGATTACCTCGTCAAGCAGTTTGTCCGCTCATTAAAAGGAAATTCTTTTGATTGGTACACGAACCTCGAGGCTGGATCTGTTGATAGCTGGGATCAACTAGAGCAAGAATTCCTCAATCGCTTTTATAGCACAAGATGCACTGTGAGTATGATAGAGCTTATAAATAATCGTCAACGAAAGGGGGAACCAGTTATCGACTTTATCAATCGTTGGAGGAATGCAAGC